CTCGTGGAACCGACCTTCGAATCTCTTCACCCAACACTTCCACTCGAAATGGTAGTAAGCCCAACAATTATGAAACAAAAGATTCCTCAAAACCCAACTTTTCTTCGTATATTTTGCCACCTTTTTCTGAGGCTCGAGAAGAGAGGAAGGAGTCTGTGTGGCGATTTTTAACGCATTTTCTTCACGTTGCAGGTGTACCACTTTTTCGCATGGTCCATACCCGGTTGCCAGACGGCTCTGGTGTTGATGATGAACGCCGTGGACGGCGACCCGATCGGCGGCCTCTGCACCGTCGGCGCCACCGACCTCTTCCAATTGGGTCTGGCCGTGTTCGGACCCCTCTGCCTCTACCTGGTGCTGGGCAGTCTGCTGTTGGTGGCCGGCTTTGTGGCGCTGTTGCGCATCCGCAGCCTCATCAAACTGCAGACGCAGCCGATGCTCGGCAAATCGGAGCGTCTGGAGCGTTTGATGCTGCGCATCGGCGTCTTCGGCGCTCTCTACACCCTCCCGACGGTTGTCCTGCTCGCCTGTCTGGCCCATGAACTGCGCAACCGCGAGCTCTGGCAACTCGGTCAGGCGTGTCGATGCGTCTGGCGGCGAGACGTGGACGCGATGACGAGGCTCGATGAAGAAGTGGCGGGACTCGGACTCGCATCCGGACACGGACTAGCACCCGTGCTGGCACTCGACTCTGCGCGTTGGCGACCACCAAAGCCCGAGTTTGCTGTTGTCATGCTCAAGTACTTCTCCGGTTTGCTCGCCGGCCTGACCGCCGGCGGGTGGATCTGTTCGCAGAAGACCTTGACGATCTGGCGAGCAGCTTTCCGGCGTCGTCGCGGTCGCGGTCGCGCCGAGTCGACGAGGCGACTGCCGCCGCCGCCGCCGCGGCAGGCCGGACCGGAACTCGGTCAGTCGGGACTCATGCCTGTGTCCGTGGGGCTGTGCAACGAGGAAGCTCGTCACCGTTACCGACATCAGCATCAGCATCAGCATCAGCATCAGCCGCATCATCAGCACCAGCAACCGCAACAACAACAGCAACAGCAACAGCAATATCTGTACCAATTCGATTTGTTGACCAAGACGCAGGGCTACAATCGGATTGTGCCCGGCCTCGGGACTCGATCCTCGGGCGCCGACGCACCGACGCCGCCTGGCGACGGTCGGTTCCAGTTGCAACCGCTCACATTCATACCACCACCACCGCCTTCGCTGCCGCCGCCGCAGTCGACGCCAGGCCGGCAAAGCAGCGTGTACTCGCAGGCCCAGCGACAGGGAACATCGAGCGCTGTCTCCATGCCGCTGCCGGCTCCGCCCTGCCTCGGCGTTGCCACAGGATCCGCGACCACGGCCACCTCGTTGGTAGACGCCTATCTCTTCTCCTCCTCCTCTCTGGCCGGAGTTGGTACGGCAGCACCAGCTGCTCCGATCTCCGCCTCCGTCTCTGCCGACGCCAACAGCAACGCCAACGCCAATGCCGACGGCAACTGTGACTGTGATTGCGGCTGCGATGGTGGTTGCCATGGCAACGACAACAACAACGTTAATGGCAGCGGCGACGGCAACGCTGATACCGGCTCACCGGTCGGTCGTGGAGTTGTTGCCAGTCGAGGCGGGCCCAGACTCGGCTTCTCCGGACAGCTCGTTGCACGGCCCAACAAGCAGACAACCGGCGCAGGCCTGTCGCTAAGCTCGTCCGGATTTGTCGAGTCCAGCAGCCTGAAGGTCTCAGGCGTGGCACCAACATCAATACCAATACTGACGCCAGCATCGGGACCGGGAACAGTGCAACCACAGGCACCGGCCTCGATCGTCAGCAGCGGATTGGGCAGTTCGAGTCTGCAGGACTCGCTGCAACAGACGACCCAGACGAGTCTGCTTCTGCAGTCGACGGCCGGGGCGGTGACACGAGCCTTCGACAACGTCATGCAGATCAAGTGAGCGGCCTCGAAGCAACAGTTGCGTTGGTCACGTGGTTGACTGCATAGAAACGGCGAGGAAAATTTGGCCTTCGGGGAATCTCTGCACATACTTTGGTTGGGCTCACCTCCAGTTCGAGTGAAAAGATGTGTGATTAAGAGATTTAAGGTTAGTCGACGATAGGAAGACCAAGATGGAGTGTCCCGCGGTATGGTCGCAGTCTACTTTCGATTTATAGAAGTGGGTTGACCTCGTTGTCAAACTTGGTCTTGTTGTCAGGGCGACTTAGTAGAACATACCTAGTCCGAAGTCGACTGCCATAGTAGTTGTCATGATTCCCAGCATCAGAAAGTGGACTTGGT